CATCTAAAATGAATGGGAAAGATTTCCCCCAACTGTAACAGGACAAAGCACTATTCACTGTACTCAGATTGCTAAACTATTTACTCTAGTACTTATCAGTTTGGGGCTCTGAGGTGTACTGTCATTATGGAGCTACAGCCGTTTATACCGTGTAATAAACAGTACCTAATAATTGAGGTGCCTGCTTATTACATTTTCCTTATGACATTTAATTTTGTATGTCCTAGATTTTAACTTGGATGTATACACACACAAAATATTAATCAATAGTGTTTACTGCACATGAACAGACTTTCAATCTGCCTCATTTTCAGCAAAATATTCTTTCTATCTGAAAACATGCTTGATTTAAAAAAATATATTTAACTTTATTATTATTATTAGTAGTAGTAGTAGTATTTTCATTTGACCAGAGAGACAGAGAGAGAGAGAAAGTGAGAAAGCAAGCTGCCAGGTTTGGGACTCAAACTGTGATCAGTCATGTGGGAGTCCACTGCCGTTGACCACCATGCCACTTGCCGGTCCACCATGCTTGATTCTTGCATGTTAATTTATAAAACCAAAGACAGGCACTTTTTTAAAGAATTATTTTATTTCATTAATTATCATCATTTCATTATTATTTGTTTAATTTGATCAGAGAGTAACAGAGAGAGAAAGGGAAAGTAGGAAAGCAAGCCTCCAGGTCCAGGACTTGAACCGTGGTAGGCCATCTGGGAGTCCAGCATCTTAACAACCACACCACCTGCCAGCCCCAAAATAGGCACTTTCACTATCTCAAAAAGGATGTTATGAGGACTAATTCTCTTTGTTTCAAAAATTGTTCCAGTTTTGAGAACCATGAAATGCTATGTTTTTTAAAAAAAGTTTTTTTCCTTAAGGCACATGTGCTTGCCAATAAGAGAGAGACAGTGAAAGCAAAAGAGAAATCACTCCCTCGGGGGGGTGGGGGGGGATGGCCATGCTGCAATCCTTTCTCCTTCAATCTCCTCCCAGAATCTTGGTGGGCACACATGCAAATACACAGGTACCCATGTGAGTTTCAAGCCACCAGGTCTGGGACTCAAACCCAGGTCAACCATGTGGGAGTCCAGTAGCACAACTGCTGCACCACCTGCTGGTCCCATGAAATGCTATTTTAAAATTAGAGATGAACAGTTTTCACATATTTCTTTAAGTAGAAGGAAGGATAGTGAGGCGGTGTTTATGCCATGGAAGCAAGTTGACGGGAAAAGACTAAAACAAGCAGTGGGGTACCGGTTGTACTTTGATATATGGGAGTATCTCAATTGAGCAGCCTGGGTCGGCCACCTGTTCGTATATGATCTGGCTTCTGGTGCTCCTTTTGACAATATCCATGAGTAAATGAATTTTAGGTACGGACATTGTCTTTCTTCCCCTCATCTTTATCCCTCCTTTGTCTTTCAGAGAAACACAGACACCATCTAATCCTACACAAACCTTTCTCTGTATTACTTTCATTATGCATTATATTTTATGTATTTGTTTTATTTCTTTGTATTTTTTTTTAACACCTTCTACAGGCTATTGTGTAACGACATGTTTTCATACTGCTAAACTGAAGCTACGTCTGCCTCCTAAAGGTCATTTATGAAACTGTCATCCAGCGTTCCCATGCAGTCATGCACTAATATTTCCTGTAAAACCACCAGGATCTGTCTAGATAATAAATGCTGTGGAATATATCATGCAGTGCTCCACCCGTGAAAATGAAGAAAGTACTGTTAACAATCAGAATGCTGTATGAAAATCCATCTTTTTTTTTTTTTTGCATTAAGTGAAACTAAAATGAAAGTTGAAAATCAACACTTTTTGGAAGGTTTTATACCTTAAGCATA